CATTCCAGCATTGGTGACAGAGTGAGACTCTGTCTCAAAAAAAGAAAAGGAAAGAAAAGAAAAGGATGAGCCTGGAATATCTTGCTATCCCAGAAAGTAAGGAATCGCTTAAGGATTGAGGGGGACATGACAAAAGGACACAGAATCCAGTCATTAAAAGATAATTTGAGCACCAAAGTAAGTAACATTATAATAGATTATAACCCATTAAACACAACCAAATTCATTATTCCATAATGATATAAATAAATATATGAATACATTAAAAACTTGATGAGGAATATATAGTTATGTGGTATCAAAGAATCTACCCGCAAAGTATTTCTTAATTACAAATGCAGGAAGAATGACATTATGGTGGAGGAGACAATGAGACACCATAATCAAAGTCAACATTTCCCATAATGGGACAGATTGAAGTTATTTGTCACCAGATATGATGCAATGAGAAGTCAAAGCATCTTCTGTGATATTCCTGACAAACTGAATAACCAGAATCTGATTATGAAGAAACATCAGATAATCCCAGATTGAGAAAAATTTTAAAAACTCCCAAGCTATGCTTTTCAAAAGTGACAAGGTCAAGGAGGTTGAGTAAAGACTGAGGAACTGTGTCAGGCTGTGGTTCACTAAAGAGACATGACAACTAGTTGCAAAATGTGACTCAGGATTCTAAACAGATTCTGAAATGAATATAATGAATATTATTGGGACTTATTGAGGAAACACTAATGGAAATGAGAATTAGGTGGCCCCAATGCATCAATACTAATATCCTGAATTTGAAAGTTATATTTTGGTTATATAATTGAATTGCCTGGCTTATGAAAGGTATGTATATACTAAAATATTTCAGGTTTGGAGCTTCAGTTCAGAAATTATTCTCAAATGTTCAAAATAGAGAAAATTTTCTGTTTGTACCTCCAACTTTTTGTTACATTTATAGTTAAAATTATATAGATAAATATATAATATATATGCATTTGTATATGTGTGATACACATATACATAGATAAATGATATATATAAAACCAGCAATAGACTCGTATCTAAGGTATGCAAGCCCTTCACAAAAGATTTGATATCGCCAAAGCACATTTGAAAAAGCACTTGGCATCATGAAGCTTCACTGAAATGCAAATTAATACTACAATAAGATGTTATTAAGCACACATCAAAATGGTTAAAATGAAAAAGGACAACATAGTGTTGGCAAGAAAGAGAAGCAGCTGGCACTCCCAGTACAATTTAAATTTATTAAACCATTTGGACAATTCTTTGGCAGTCATTAATAAAACTGAACACATGTACATCCAGCAATTATAGTTATAGCAACAGAAATTGTTATATTGGGATAACAGTGTATTAGAGTAATAACAGCACTATTTACAATAGCCACAAACTATAATCAACTCAAAAGTCCATAACAATACAATAAAAAGATACATTTTGGAATTGTTATAAAATAAAACACTCTAATGTAATCCTGACTTACCTACTGCTATTTGTGACAACATGAATGAATCTCGCAAACACAATATTAAGTGAAAATATTAGAGACGACTGAAAAATACACGCTGTGATTCCATTTACATTAATTCACAAAACAGGCAAAACTAACCTATGGCATAATACTGGAGATATCTAGTTGGGGAGGAAGGTAGAAGGAGACATAAGGGGCTTCTGGAGTCCTGGCAAAATTATTTTTCTTGACCTGTGTTGATTACACAGATGTGTTCAGTTCATGATAATTTATTGAGCTATATACATTTAGGATGTTTCCAATGTTCTCGTTGTACATTACACTTCAGTGAAAAGGTTTATTTAAAAAGAAGCAGTTTTTCTTCACAATTTTACCCAAACTGAGTTCGGCAATACTCTGTCACTGTGGAGGGCTTCACCTGGATGCCCTCCTGATCATCCATTTGGGCAATGATACTACACTAGGAAATCTCTCCAATGTGAGTATCACTGAACTTGGAATTAAAACCTGGATTCTAAAAAAAAAAGGTTATGTACTGATGCACTGGTGACACTTTACCTCAATCATTCACCAACTCCTCATTTCTGATAATAAAGTTGGAATTAGACTAGTGGATCTCTGAGATCTCTTCTGTCTCTAATTATCTATGTTTCTTTTATTCTTTGAAAGGACCAGGCAGAAGTCTCAGGAGAAAGAAGGAACAGAGACCCATTTTTCAAGAAATAAAATGATTGTTTTAAGGAGAGCCTTTGAGATCATTTTGTCTAAAATAAGGTAGTGCACTTCTTTTAGAGTTCAGAGCTATGTAAGTCAAGCAGTAAAATAACTTTCTCTTTATCTCAGATAAATTATTCACTAAAACCTTGACTGACTCAGATTCTAAAGGTTACAAAACCAATACCACACCCTAATTGTAATCAACCTGTGTTGCAACTGTTGACTTGGTTAATGTGTATTTGAAAGTCACTGATTATCGTAATGAAATATTGCCTCATAGTACATGGTAAGTAAATGTTGGTGACTCTGGTTGAACTAAATTTCTTGCTTGGAGGGAAGGAGAAAGGGTTCCAGCCTTGACCCTTTCATCTTCAGTCTCTGTGTCCTTGAACAAAATACTTAGTCTCCAAGGCCCAGCTTCCTTATCTCTAATGTGGGAATAATTTTACCATAGGCAAAGGTAATTGAGAGAATCAAAAGGGTTATAACGCATATGAAAATTCTCTGTAAATTGTCAGAATCCCTGTAAACATGTTTGATAAAACATTGTCGATACAGGGTCTTGACAAAACTTAATTTTTTCTTATGCAGTTAGAAATAACTGCACTAGTCCAGTATTATTTACAATAACCAAGATCTGGAAATGACCTAATTGTTCATCGACAAATAAATGGATGAAGAAATTGTGGTGTATATTTATATACACAATGGAATATTTTTTAAACTTAAAAAGGAGATACTGCTGTTTGCGACAACATGGAGTGAAGCTGGAGGATATTATGCTAAGTGATATAAGCCAGATACAGAGGAAAAAAGACTGTATGATTTCACTTATATGAAGAATCTTTAAAAAGTCAAATACATAGAAACAGATGGTAGAATGGTAGTTACCAAAAGTGTGAGGGGGAGGAAATGGAAAAAAGTACATCAAAGGGCACAAATTTGTGGTTAGATAGGATGAATAAGTCTAAAGATATAATATATCGCCAGAAGACTATAGATAATATGCCATACCGAAAATTTGCTAAAAGAGTAGATTTTTAGGTGCTTATTGCCACAAAAAAGAAGGTAATTATAGAATTGATGAATATGTAAATTTTTTAACTGTAGTAAGCATTCCACTGCATATAAGTCTACTAAGCAAAAAATGTTGAATGCCTTTAATATATGCAATAGAAACAAAGCAAACAAGTAACTACTAGTCATTTAGAATACCACGATGATATCTTTACAGAATATGCCTTTGTAAAAGCATGGCATTAGTGATCTAGAAATGTCCGTATCATTTCAGTGATATATAGAGGCTCCTGACCACTAAATCATCTCCTGGTCAGGTCTGCACAGTCGTGTTTGTTCTGTGCTGTGGGTCTATTTAATAATTTCCCTATCTCCCATTCACCACTGAAGCACATGCCTGTTGTTCTTCCTATAATTCCCCGTTTTTGCTGTGCAATATTTCATTCCATTATTTCTGACACAGGCAGACAGAAAAAGCAGCAGGAACAGCTGTGTCTGGTGATTACTGGGAGGTGGAGAAGCCATAGTGTCTGAGATCTTACCCACTAAATTCTCTGAGATTGGCTCTTTTCTCAGTTAATACTGAGTAGGTTTCACCTCTGCAGTTACAGAGAGAGGAGAAACCCTAGCTTTTATTTCTTCTTTTGAGAATGTACAGATCTGTTATTTTGTGAACAGTGTAGTGTACATTCAGAGTGATGAATGTTTTTAGGATTTTTTTTATTTTGCTAATACTGTTCTCAAGGCAGCTCTGGTTTAAGTGATAATGCACCACAGTGGGCATCAGATCTCAGTTCAAATCCCAGCCTGCCATTTATCAGCTGTGGGACACTGGACAGGTCATCTGTTCTCCTAGAATTTCCCTTTCCCCATTTGAAAAATATGAAGTAATATTCTTAGCCGTCCAGTGTTTTTCAGGGGGTGTTAATGGAAAAAGGTGTGTATGTTTACTTAGCTAGTTAATTGATAACCTGTTTAGCCATTTAAGATAAATGAGTTAGTTAACTGCTTTATGTTTAGGCAGCTGTAATGTTAATATTATACTAAAATATTTCAAAAGGATATCATTTTCAAGGAGAATGTTCTAGTGTTTGAAAAGCATTATAGTGTTGCAGTCTTGCTGATCCTTAGCTCAGCTAGGTCTGAGTTGTTGTCTCATGAAGGAAGAATTAGGCACATAGACACTGGAGAGTGAGTGAAATAGAATTTATTAAGTGACGGGAAAACTCTCAGCAATGAGAGGGGTCCTGAAAGCAGGTTGTGGGTTGCCACTTTGCAGTTGAATACCAGGGCTTTTATAGAAAAGCTGATGTGGCTGAGATCTTTATTTACTTAAGGCATTAATTCCTGGTGTTTCTACCCGTTCTTTCCATTGCACATGTGGGCCCTTAGTCTAAGCCACTCCATACTGATTTATTTCTCTTACTGTCATGTGTTAAACGACGGAATTTTTCACTGCCAGCATGTTTAGGGAAGCTCCCTGTGCAAGTTCCCTTATATGCACAAAACATTGAGTGTAAGTACTTGAGGATTGTGTAGACTGGATAATGACCTGGATGGGTTGGAGGTTCTCTGGGACTGGAACTGTCTGCCTAAAGCAAGCTGGCTAACTCCTCTCAATAAGATAAACATTATTTTATGTATAAGGAATATAATGCACAGATTGCCTTTAAAGTCATATTTCCAACTTGTCCAATCTAAGAATTCAAAGTTTTGAATAATTTTTTGATGAAATAATTTATTTCATTGGTTCTCAATTTTGGCTGCACAGTGGAACCACCTGGGGTGTTAAAAAAAAACCTGGGCCCTGCCTGGCGTGATGTCTCGTGCCTGTAATCCCAGCGCTTTGGGAGGCGAGGTGGGCAGATCACCTGAGGTCAGGAGTTTTGAGACCAGCCTGACCAACATGGGGAAATCCCATCTCTACTCAAAAATAAACAAACAAACAAAACACACACACAAAAATTAGCCAAGTGTGATGGATCATGCCTTTAATTCCAGCTATACCAAAGGCCGAGGCAGGAGAATCGCTTGAACTCAGGAGGTGGACGTTGCAGTGAGCTGAGATCACACCATTGCACTCGAGCCTGAGCAACAAGAGGGAAACTCCATCTAAAAAAAAAAGAAAAAAAAAAAAGAAAAGAAAAAGGGTTCTGCTTCAGACTAGTTAAACCAGAATCTCCAGGGTGGGGCATTGGAAATGAGAACAAGAGAAAAGAAAAACTTTTTCAGTGAGGCAGCGTCCATTCAGAAGAGAGATTAAAGTGCTTCTTCCTGACTGGTGACAGTCAGAGTCAGAATCACAGGTGGATTAGCAGGGAGTGTTATAAAAACCTTAGAGTGAAAGCCTGCAGTTGTCTTACTAAGAGATGGATCCAGCTGTGGTTCTGGTGTTCTGTCTCTCCTGTTTGCTTCTCCTTTCACTCTGGAGTCAGAGCTCTGCAAGAGGGAGGCTGCCGTCTGGCCCCACTCCTCTCCCGATTATTGGAAATATCCTGCAGTTAGATGTTAAGGACATTGGCAAATCCTTAACCAATGTGAGTATGTTTTATGTTCCTCTAGTAATGTACAAGGTATATTTAACCTCACGATTCTTAAAGTTTTAATTTCTTTTTTTTTGTGATTTATTTTTATTTCATTTTAGGTTTTGGTGTACATGTGAAGAACATGCAAGATTGTTGCATTGGTACACACATGGCAGTGTAATTTGCTGCCTTCCTCCCCTTCACCTATATCTGGCATTTCTCCCCATGCTGTCTCTCCCCTACTCCCCACCCACCACTGTCCCTCCCCTATTTCCCCCCAACAGACCCCAGTGTGTGATGCTCCCCTCTCTGTGTCCATGTGTTCTCATTGTTCAATACCACCTATAAGTGAGAACATGAGGTGTTTGATTTTCTGTTCTTGTGTCATTTTGCTGAGAATGATGGTCTCCAGGTTCATCCATGTCTCTACAAAGGATATGAACTCATCATTTTTGATGGCTGCATAATGTTCCATGGTGTATATGTGCCACATTTTCCCTGTCCAGTCTATCATCGATGGGCATTTGGGTTGGTTCCAGATCTTTGCTCTTGTAAACTGTGCTGCAGTGAACATTCATGTCCATGTGTCCTTATAGTAGAATGATTTATAATCCTTTGGATATATACCCAGTAATGGAATTGCTGAGTCAAATGGAATTTCTATTTCTAGGTCCTTGAGGAATCACCACACTGTCTTCCATAATGGTTGAACTAATTTACATTCCCACCAACAGTGTAAAAGTGTTCCTATTTCTCCACATCCTGTCCAGCATCCGTTGTCTCCGGATTTTTTAATGATCGCCATTCTAACTGGCGTGAGATGGTATCTTGATGTAGTTTTGACTTGCATTTCTCTAATGACCAGTGATGATGAGCATTTTTTCATATGTTTTTTGGCCTCATGTATTTCTTATTTTGTAAAGTGTCTGTTCATATCCTTTGACGACTTTTGAATGGGCTTGTTTTTTTCTTGTAAATCTGTTTTAGTTCTTTGTAAATTCTGGATATCAGCCCTTCGTCAGATAGGTAGACTGCAAAAATTTTTTCCCATTCTGTTGGTTGCTGATTCACTCTAATGACTGTTTCTTTTGCCATGCAGAAGCTGTGGAGTTTGATTAGGTCCCATTTGTCTATTTTGGCTTTTGTTGCCAATGCTTTTGGTGTTTTGGTCATGAAGTCCTTGCCTAAGCCTATGTCCTGAACAGTTTTGCCTGGATTTTCTTCTAGGGTTTTTATGGTGTTAGGTTTTATGTTTAAGTCTCTAATCCATCTGGAGTTAATTTTAGTGTAAGGTGTCAGGAAGGGGTCCAGTTTCTGCCTTCTGTAAATGACTAGCCAGTTTTCCCAACACCATTTATTAAACAGGGAATCCTTTCCCCATTGCTTGTTTTTGTGAGGTTTGTCAAAGATCAGATGGTTGTAGATGTGTGGTGTTGCCTCTGAGGCCTCTGTTCTGTTCCATTGGTTTATATCTCTGTTTTGGTACCAGTACCATGCTGTTTTGATTACTGTAGGCTTGTAGTATACTTTGAAGTCCAGTAGTGGACTCCTGCTTTCTTCTTTTTATTAGAATTAACTTGGCTATGTGGGTGCTTTTTTTGTTCCATATGAAGTTTAAGGTGTTTTTTTCCAGTTCTTTGAAGAAGGTCATTGGTAGCTTGATGGAGATAGCATTGAATCTATAAATTACTTTGGGTAGTATGGCCATTTTCATGATATTAATTCTTCCTAACCATGAACATGGAATGTTTCTCCACCATTTGTGTCCTCCCTTATTTGGTTGAGCAGTTGTTTGTAGTTCTCCTTGAAGAGGTCCTTTACGTTCCTTGTTAGTTGTATTCCTAGGTATTTTATTCTCTTTGTAGCAATACTGAGTGGCAGTTCGTTCTTGTTTTGGCTCTGTTTAAGTTGGTTATTGGTGTATAGGAATGCTTGTGATTTTTGCACATTGATTTTATATCCTGAGACTTTGCTGAAGTTGCTTATCAGTTTCAGGAGATTTTGGGCTGAGATGATTGGGTCTTCTAGATATACAATCATGTCATCTGAAAATAGAGACAATTTGACTTCCTCCTTTCCTAATTGAGTACTCTTTATTTGTTTTTACTGCCTGATTGCTCTGGCTAGAACTTCCAATACTATATTGAATAGGAGTGGTGAGAGAGGGCATCCTTGTCTAGTGCCAAATTTCAAAGGGAATGCTTCCAGTTTTTGCCCATTCAGTATGATATTGGCTGTGGGTTTGTCATAAATAGCTTTTATTATTTTGAGATACATTCCATTGATACCTAGTTTATTGAGAGTTTTTAGCATAAAGGGCTGTTGAACTTTGTCGAAGGCCTTCTCTGTGTCTATTGAGATAATCGTGGTTTTGTCTTTGGTTTTCTTTATGTGATGGTTTACATTTATAGACTTGTGTATGTTGAACCAACCATACATCGCTGGGATGAAGCCTACTTGATCTTGATGGATAAGTTTTTGATGTGCTGTTGCAATCAGTTTGCCAGTATTTTATTGAAGATTTTTGCATCTATGTTCATCATGGATATTGGCCTGAAGTTTTCTTTTCTTGCTGAGTCTCTGCTGGGTTTTGGTATCAGGATGATGTTGGTCTCATGAAATAATTTGGGAAGGATTCCCTCTTTTTGGATTGTTTGGAATAGTTTCAGAAGGAATGGTACCAGCTCCTCTTTGTGTATCTGGTAGAATTCGGCTGTGAACCCATCTGGACCTGGGCTTTTTTTGTGTGGTAGGCTCTTAATTGCTGCCTCGACTTCAGACCTTGTTATTGGTCTATTCAGGGTTTTGACTTCTTCCGGGTTTAGGCTTGGGAGGATGCAAGTTTCTAGGAATTTATCCATTTCTTCTAGGTTTACTAGTTTATGTGCATAGAATTGTTTGTAATAATCTCTGATGATGGTTTAAATTTCGGTGGAATCTATTATGATATCCCCTTTATTGTTTTTTATTGCATCTATTTGGTTATTCTCTCTTTTCTTTTTTCGTAATCTGGCTAGTGGTCTATCTATTTTGTTGATCTTTTCAACAAACCAGCTCCTGGATTTATTGATTTTTTGAAGGATTTTTCGTGTCTCTATCTCCTTCAACTCTGCTCTGATCTTAGTTATTTCTTGTCTTCTGCTAGGTTTTGAGTTTTTTTGATCTTGCTCCTCCAGCTCTTTCAATTTCGACGATAGGGTGTCAATTTTAGATCTCTCCTTGCTTCTCATGTGGGTATTTATTGCTATATATTTTCCTCTAAAGACTGCTTTAAATGTGTCCCAGAGATTCTGGTATGTTGTGTCTTCATTCTCATTCGTTTCATATAACATATTCCTATCTGCCTTCATTTCATTGTTTATCCAGTGAACATTCAAGAGCAAGTTGTTCAGTTTCCATGAAGCTGTGCAGTTCTGAGTTAGTTTCTGAATTCTAAGTTCTAACTTGATTGCACGTGGTCTGAGAGACCGTTATGATTTCCATTCTTTTGTATTTGCTGAGGAGTGATTTACTTCCAATTATGTGGTCAGTTTTAGAGTAGGTTCAATGTGGTGCTAAGAAGCATGTATATTCTGTGGATTTGTGGTGGAGAATTCTGTAAATGTCTATTAGGTTTTCTTGGTACAGGTCTGAGTTCAAGTCGTGGATATCCTTGTTAATTTTCTGTCTCATTGATCTGTCTAATATTCACAGTAGGGTGTTAAAGTCTCCCACTATTATTGTGTGGGAGTCTAAGTCTCTTTGTAAGTCATTAAGAACTTGCCTTATGTATCTGGGTGCTCTGGTATTGGGTGTGTATATATTTAGGATTGTTAGCTCTTCTTGTTATATCAATCCTTTTACCATTATGTAATGTCCTTCTTTGTCTCTTTTGATCTTTGTTGCTTTAAAGTCTATTTTATCAGAGATGAGAATTGCAACTCCTGCTTTTTTTTCCTCTGTTTGCTTGGTAAATGTTCCTCCATCCCTTTATTTTGAGCTGTTGTGTATCGTTCCATGTGAGGCGGATACAGCACACCAAAGGGTTTTGGCTTTTTATCCAATTTGCCAGTCTGTGTCTTTTGATCACTGAATTTAGCTCATTTACATTTAGGGTTAATATTGTTATGTGTGAATTTGATTCTGCCATTTTGATGCTACCTGGCTGTTTTGCCCATGGTTTGATACAGTTTTTTCATTGTGTTGATGCTCATTACCATTTGGTATGTTTTTGGAGTGGCTGGTACTGGTTGTTCATTTCTATGTTCAGTGCCTCTTTCAGGAACTCTTGTAAAGCAGGACTGGTGGTGATGAAATCTGAGTACTTGCTTATTTGTAAAGGATTTTATTTTTCCTTCACTTATGAAGCTTAGTTTAGCAGGATATGAAAATCTGGGTTGAAAGTTCTTTTCTTTAAGAATGTTGAATATTGACCCCCACTCTCTCCTGGCTTGTAGGGTTTCTGCTGAGAGATCTGCTGTGAGTCTAATGGGCTTCCCTTTGTGGGTAACCTGACCTTTCTCTCTGGCTGCCCTTAGCATTCTCTCCTCCATTTCAACCCTGGTGAATCTGATGATTATGTGCCTTGGGGTTGCTCTTCTTGAGGAATATCTTTATGGTGTTCTCTGTATTTTCTGGACTTGAATATTGGCCTGCCTTGCTAGATTGGGGAAGTTTTCCTGGGTAATGTCCTGAAGAGTATTTTCCAGCTTGGATTCATTGTCTCTGTCATATTCAGGTACACCTGTCAAACATAGATAAGGTCTTTTCACGTAGTCCCATATTTCTTGGAGACTTTGTTCATTCCTTTTTACACTTTTTTCTCTAATCTTGCCTTCTTATTTTATTTCATTGAGTTGATCTTCGACCTCTGATATCCTTTCTTCTGCTTGGTCAGTTCGGCTGTTGTAACTTATGTATGCCTTGCAAATTTCTCATGTTGTGTTTTTCAGCTCCCTCAGTTCACTTATATTCCTCTCTATGTTGTCTATTCTCATTAGCATTTCATCAAATCTTTTTTCAAGGTTCTTAGTTTCTTTGCCTTGGGTTAGAACATGTTCTTTTCGCTCACAGAAGTTTCTTATTACTGACCTTCTGAAGCCTGATTCTGTCAATTCATCACACTCATTCTCCATCCAGCTTTGTTCCCTTGCTGGTGAGTAATTGCGATCCCTTGTGGGAGGAGAGGCATTCTGGATTCATCCTTGTAGGAGGAGAGGCATTCTGGATTCATCTTTGTAGTTCTTGACGTTTAGATTGGGTCTCTGAGTGGACATTCAGTTTGCTGATGATGAAGTTATTTCTTTCTGTTTCTTAGTTTTCCTTCTAGCAGTGTGGCCCCTCTGCTATAGGACTATTGAGGTCCACTCCAGGCCCTGCTTGCCTGGGGATCACCTGCAGTGGCCTCTGCCCTTTCACTGGGATCTGCAATCCTGAGCTGCTCCTAATCGGCCATCCTGGATCCTTGTTTAATTTTTGAGTAATAAATGATAATTGCATATATTAATGGGGTACAATATTGCATTTTTGGTACATGTATACCTTGTGAATTGATCATATCAGGGTAATTAGCATATGCATCATCTCAAATATTTGTGATTTCTTTGTAGTGAGAACATTTAAAATACTCTCTTTTTTAGCTGTTTTGAAATGTAGAATACATTCATATTAATTATACTCATCTTGCTGTCCAGTAGAACACCTGAGCTTATTCCTCCTATCTAACTGTAACTCCGTACCTGTTGACCAATGTCACCCTTTATTTGGCCCACCTCCACCTGCCAGCCTCTGGTAATCACCATTCTAATCTCTACTTATGTTTTTTGAGTTGGAGTCTCACTCTGTTGCTCAGGCTGGAGTGCAGCGGTGCAATCTTGGCTCACTGCAACCTCTGCCTCCTGAGTAGCTGGGACTAAAGATGTGTGCCACCACGCCCAGCTAATTTTTGTATTTTTTAGTAGAGATGGGGTTTCACCATATTTGCCAGGCTGGTCTCAAACTCCTCACCTTATGATCCAACTGCCTTGGCCTCCCAAAGTGCTGGGATTACACGCATATGCCACAGTGCCCAGCCTCTAATCTCTACTTATATGGGTTCAACTTTTTATGATTCTACATCAAAGTGTGATCATATGTAATATTTGTCTCTCTGTGCCTGGCTTATTTAACTAACATGATGTCCTCTAGATTCATCCATGCTGTCATAAATATTAAAAACTGTCATGAATAAGAGTATTTCTTCCTTTTTAAAAGACTGAATAGTGTTTCATTATACATATATGCCACATTAAAAATAATCCATTACTTTGTTGGTGAACACGAGTTGTTTCTATAACTTGGCTACTGTCAATAGCACTGCAATAAACAGGGAAGTACAGATATCTCTTCTACATACTGACTTCAATTCCTTTGGGTATATACTGGTAGTGAGATTGCTGGATCATCTGATAGTTCTATTTTTAGGTTTTTGAGGAATCTCCATAATGTTTTCTCAAATGACTATGCTAATTTACACACCCAAAGTTCATTTTTTTCCACATCTTTGTCAACACTTGTTATGTTTTTATCTTTTTTATAATAATAGCCAATCTAAGAGTTGTGATGTGATATCTCATTGCGGTTTAAATTTGCATTTCTCTGATAATTAAATTTTTTGGGTATTTAAAAATATATCTGTTGGCCATTTGAATGTCTTCTTTTGAAAACTGTCTACTCAAATCCTTTGCCCATTTTATTTATTTATTTATATTTATTTATTATTTATTTTTGGAGACAGTGTTTTGCTCTGTTACCTAGGCTGGAGTGTAGTGATGGGATCATGGTTCACTGCAGTCTTTAGCTCCTGGGCTCAAGCAATCCTCCCACCTTAATCCCCCAAGTAGCTGGGACTACAGGTACATGTCACTATGCCTGGATAATTCTTAAATATTTGTAGAGATGTGGTCTCCTTATGTTGCCCAGGCTTGTCTTGAACTTTTGGGCTCAAGCAGTCCACCTACCTTAGTCTCCCAAAGTGCTGGGATTATAGGAATGAGCCATTGCACTCAACCCCTTTGCTTGTTTTAAATAGAATTGTTTATTTTCTTGTTATTAAGTCATTTGAGTTTCTATATATTTTGGATGTTAGCCTCTTAGCTTATGTCTGATTTGCAAATATTTTCTCCTAATCTGTGGATTGTCTCTTGACTCTATGACTTATTTCTTTTGCTGTACAGAAGCTTTTTGGGTTGTCAGAATCTCATTTGTCTAGTTTTGCCTTTGCTGCCTGTGCTTTTAGGATTATATCCAAGAAATCATTGCCTAGACCAATGTCAAAGAGTTTTACTCTATAATTTCTTATAGTAATTTTTAGTTGAAGGTCTTATGATTAAGGCTTTAATTCATTTTGAGTTAATTCTTGTATAAGGTGTGAGATTAGGGTTCTCTTTCATTCTTTTGCATATGAACATCCATTTTCCCAACACTTTTTGCTGAAGAGTGCTTTCCCCATTGTATGTTCTTGGCACCTTTGTAAAAAAGCAATTGACTATAGATGTGTGGGCTTATTTTAGGGTTCTCTATTCTTTTCCTTTAGTCAATGTGTCTGTTTTTATGCTAATGCTATGCTGTTTGGCTTACTATAGCTTTGTAACATATTTTGCAATTCAATAGTGTGATGCCTCTAGCTTTATTATCATTATTTTTTGGTTAAGACTGCTTTGGCTATTTGGGGTCTTTTGTGGTTCCATACAAATTTTAAAATTGTTTTTTTCTGTTTCTGTGAAGAATGAGATGAAAATTTTGATAGGGATTGCATTGAAGCTGTATATAGCTTTGGGCAGTATGGACATTTTACTGCTCTTAGTTTTTCCAATCCATTAACATGGGATATCTTTGCATTTATTGTGTCATTTTCAATTTCTTTTATCAATGATTTGTAGTTTTTAGTATATAGATCTTTCTTGGTTAAATTTATTTCTAAGTATTTTATTTTTTGATGCTACTATAAATGAATTGTGCTCTTAATTTCTCTTTCAGACAGTTTGTTGTTAGTATCTAGAAATGCCACTGATATTTGCATATTGATTTTGTATCCTTCAAGTTTACTGAATTTGTCAGGTCTAACCCTTTTGTACTGAAGTTTTTAGGATTTTGTATCTATCAGATTATGTCATCAGGAAACATACAACTTCACTTCATCCTTTCCTATATGAATATATCCTTTCCTGTGTGAATATTCCTATATGAATATTTTCTTTCTTTAGTCTAATTGCTCTGATTAGGACTTCCAGTACTCTGTTAAACAGAAATGGTCAGAGGGAGCATTCTTGTCTTGTTTCTGATCTTACAAGAAAAGCTTTTAACTTTTCATCTTTAAATATGATGTTAGCTGTTGGCTTGTCATATATAACCTTTAATGTCACAGAGAACATTCTGTATTACTGGAGGTCATTTATATGGGTTATATGTTATATTAAAGGAACATTCCTCAACATTCATCCTGTATTACCAGAGGTCAATTATTAAAATATGTTATTGTAAAGCAAATACCTCCTGTGGAGTATTTTTTCTTTTGTGTTTCATTGTCAGAAATAGTGGAATAAAATAATGCATTTTGCCAGAAGAGAAAAATTTTAAGTTGCAAGGTAGAATAAAAATGATAAAGGGCTGCTGCTTTTCTTTATTTTACAGTCATTTGCTATAATTTTTTTGCCTGAAGGAAAATGGTAATGGAAATGTTTTGTGATTAGAGATTTTATTTGAGAAGTCAGTCACTGTATATGCTATATACTTTGCTTAGATTAGCCATGATCATTAAACTTTTTATAAAAGCAAATCATGCCTGATGTCAAAGAAATATCTAATAGTTCATTATAAACATAAATGAATGAAAGAAAGAATTAATTAGTCAGGGCCATCAGGGTCATAACAGAATATTTATGGCCTCTCTACAAAGCTGCTATCTGTGACCTATGAGTGTACAGCATGAAAGACATTGTTCCTCTGTGAGATGCCATTCGTCCTTCTACTACCTCTGTTGGGTCCACTCTCCTCCTGTGATAATTATACCAGTGGATCTAAGAGTGGGCTTGGCAGTAGAATCATCTGGGAGATTTAAAAAGGTATAGATATTTTAGTATTGATGACAGCATTCTGCATCAGGATCCCTATGGGATGAGCTTTGTAGGGGATCCTGAAGCAGTGTCCTAGCAGCTGATTATTGGTTCAAATATGGACATTGGGAACTGATAAATTGCTCAGGCATCAGAGGTTGACTAAGCAGGCTTCAAATTTGGACCTCCTGTTTATCAGTTGTGGGACACTGACAGTGAATTTGAAATTCTTTAAAATTCAATCTGTCTTATCTGTAAAACAGAGTAAACAAATTTAGTTCAAGGTGTTGTTATTATGATAGAGTGTAATAACCTGCATACTACTTTCCTGGGCCACTGCCTGGCACATTGAAGGCACTGTATATGTGCAGCTAAAACAATAATCATTATATTTATGTAAAATCCACAAATATTTAAAGCTGTATTTGACAGATTAATAATATCAACATTATGATAATATCAGTCTGAATCATGGACAATATATAGACCAAATACTGACTTTTACTACTATTTGAATCTCCTTTTCTATGTTCAGTTCTCAAAAGTCTATGGCCCTGTGTTCACTGTGTATTTTGGCCTGAAGCCCATTGTGGTGTTGCATGGATATGAAGCAGTGAAGGAGGCCCTGATTGATCATGGAGAGGAGTTTTCTGGAAGAGGCAGTTTTCCAGTGGCTGAAAAAGTTAATAAAGGACTTGGTAAATGTGGATAAATGTGCATGTATCATGTGTATGTATACATGTGTATGTTTGGGCAGTGGTTATAGGGATGGGGAGGATGGAAAACAGGTTTGAAGGGCTCCTAGGACAGAACTTGACCCATCCATGTGGCTGCCAAGTGTCAGCTCCCTTCTTGTTTGGAATTTCCTTCCAACTTTCTGTTTTCTGTTCTGTTAGGAATCCTTTTCAGCAATGGAAAGAGATGGAAGGAGATCCGGCGTTTCTCCCTCATGACTCTGCGGAATTTTGGGATGGGGAAAAGGAGCATCGAGGACCGTGTTCAAGAGGAAGCCCGCTGCCTTGTGGAGGAGTTGAGAAAAACCAATGGTGGGTGACTTTTTTTTTTTCCTGAAGGATGTTTTCTAAAATTTATTTTAATTTATTTTTAAATTGATATATAACCTTTATACATATTTCTGGGGTACATGTAATATTTTGTTACAGAATGTGTAATGATCAAGTTAGGGTGTTTAGCCTATGTATCACTTTGAATATTTATCATTCTATGTGTTGAGAACATTTCTAGCTATCTTGAAATACACAATACTCTGACATTAACAAACTGCTATCTTCTCTAATGACATCCCTGGAAACCTTCTAGGGGTGGCCAGGTCTTTCATTATAGGCAGTGGTTGTCAGTCCTCATATGGAGGGGGGAGGTTTGAAGTAAAGAGCCAAGGCACCTTTTGTGCACCTATGCTTGTGTGTGTACACAATGACTGTGCATACAGTGTGAATATAAAAGGCTCATTGAAATTTATTCTGTTCCAGACTTCATTTGTTTTTAAATCATTACAGCATGAATTTAGAAGGTTTCATCTCATTTTTTTCAAATTATTAAAGAGCAGTGTTTTTCCCATAGTGTAGTTGTGGGTTATCTATTCTAGAACATTTCACCAGGGAATACTTGTCACACAGACAGAGTGGGAATGACTTCTTTACACCTTTTGAGCATGAAACAACTGACATATACTTTCATTTGGTTGGTCTATATCTGTATAGTCAGCCTCAATAGCATGTCCAGGGATTTCTTCTAAGGTCTTTGTCTGTAATTTCTACCATAATGATGATTATCTATGGTTTTAAAAGACTAGGCATTTTTAGTGTAGCCTTTATCAATTTTAATTTCCCTTTTAATTAAGAAGTAATTAAAATTATCAGCTGGAGTTATTTAGTGTTACTATTTACTGTAATGTTTTATATATTTTAAGAAAATATATGCTATAGCATAATCTTTCTGTTTCATCAAATATCAAGTTATAAAATGTTTATTTGTTTGTTTGTTTGTTTTTTGAGATGGAGTCTTGTTCTGTCACCCAGGCTAGAGTGTAGTGGCGCGATCTCAGCTTACTGCAACATCTGCCTTCTGGATTCAAGCAATTCTCCTGCCTCAGCCTCCCGAGTAGCTAGAATTATAGGTGCCCGCCACCACTCCCAGCTAATTTTTGTATTTTTAACAGAGATGGGGTTTTACCATCTTGGCTAGGCCAGTCTCAAACTCCTGACCTCGTGATCCACCTGCCTCAGCCTCCCAAAGTGCTGGGATTACAGGCATGAGCCACCACACCCAGCCTAAAATGTTTACTTAAGTAAATTTTAACTATTATTAATAACTCTTTATCCTACCCTCCCTAGTTGTAAATTAGCTCTGTGTTCAGCTTTCTTTATATTTTCCTTAGTCTTTGTGTATTAATCATGTTTTTTATTTTCTATGTTTTTATGATGCTTTGACATTTTGGGGACTTTGTGGTCCTAGAAGGGACTGTCCTCCCCAAAGTCAGACAGTTCCTAAAGATAGCAAATATCTTGTCCACAGTATGTCTTTGATTTACAAAGCAAACTCTCCAGAGCCCAGAGCCCCATCCACCTTCTTTATCAAACTCTCACACATGAATGCAATATAGTTGTCCCTCCTTATAAGTAAGTCATTGGTTCTAGGACTCCTCTTGGATACCAAAATCCACAAATGCTCAAGTCCCTTATAAATGGCATAATATTTGCCATATATTAGAGAATATTGACAATATTATTTATAATATTAGAGAATGTTATCAAGAAAAAAAATTTGTACATGTTCTATACAGATGCTTATTTTTGTTCTGAATATTTTTCATTTGGGGTTAGTTGAATTCATGATACACCATGGATACAGACTGTATTCTAGTCCTAAATCATTACATGACCAGTATGGGACAACTATGGGCCACTGCTGTATCTCAGAACCCACAGAAACTGTTCAAACTATCTATTCCCAGGCTTACTCAGTCTACCCACCCTATCTTACTCATTTCTTCCTGTGAAAACCCCAATGAAGGCTCAGCCTCATGGGTTTTTTTGCTCTTGTTGTTTCCTGACCAACACTGGTACTTCCCTGTATGGCTGCCCCTATAGGATCCAGCCCTATAGGGTCCTGTGAGCTCCTCTCTACTTGTGGGGAGAGGAGAAACTGTGGAAATAAAGACACAAGACACAGAGATCAAGAGAAAGAGGGTTTGGGCCCAGGGGTCCACTGCCAACCAAAGCACGGAGCCTGGCAATGGCCCTGAGTGTCTGGACACTCCGACTTTTATTGAGTACAAAGCAGGGGGCAGGGTAGTTAGGGTGAGCCACTGGTGGTTAGTGATAGAGTCAAGTAAATCATGTGTCTTGGAAGTAGGTGCCCAAGATTTTCAAGTAGCTGAGGTGAGGGAAGGAGCATAATGCATCAGCACTTTTTCCATACTTGTCAAGAAAGAACAAAGACATTAAGATTTATGTTACTTTTTCTGATTCTGTCTTCCAAGAAAAAGAGGAACCAGGTGCAGAAGTGGAACATGAAAGTAGACATGGAATGTGACCGCTGAAGCATAGCATCATGTAGAGACAATTAAGCCCCCAGATGTCTGTGGACTTCCCTGACAGCCATCAGGTCTACTGCAAGAGCTTGGGGGAGCAGAGTTTTCTCTTAACTCCTCAGAGGAGTTAAGAGACGTCTCCTTCCATAGCTTGCTAATCAGTGGGCGCTTTCCCAGTGCTGGCACTGCAGCATAGCCAAGGTGCTCTCCAGCAGCCCTTACATGGGCATGACAGAGGGCTTAGAGCATCTTGCCTTAGGGTCACTTCTTTCACAATGTCACCTTAGGTGCACACTTCACAACTTGAGAAACATTAGCAAAATTAAAAGGTTATACTAAGTATATATATCTAGGTATCTATATCTATGATGGCTTATGAATAATTATGTGATTATATTTGTAATTTTTTTTCTATTTCATTATTTATATAGAAACAAGTAATCAGAGTCAAGTAAATCATGTGACCCCTCAAGGCTGAGGCTTCAGACCCTTGCCTCAGCACTTGTGGGGTCTCCTGCCCACCTGCTCCCCCCCACATCCTCAACATGGTGTGGAGTGCCCCTCCTCTAGGAACTGTGAGCAATGAACTATCTTTTCAAGGGCAGTCTGTTTCAGGGCAACCTGATCTGTTGAACTCACCATATCTAAATAGAAACAAAATCCTCAGTGAATTTTAAAACAATTGTATTTGGAATTAAAAGTTTATTTATCCTCTCCCCATCCCAGTTGGATTCACCAATAAAGTACTTGTCACAGTGAGTCTGATTTTCAGCTTGGATTAGTTTAGCACCATTCCTCTTGATACTGTCGTCATGATAGTGAGTGAGTTCTCATGAACTCTGGTTGTTTAAAAGTGTGTAACACCTCTCGCCTCCCTCTTTTGCTTCAGCTTTTGCCACATGAGTGCAAACTCCTGCTTTGCCTTCCACCATAGTTGTAAGTTTCTAGAACCTCCTCAGATGTAGCATCATGCTTCCTATGCAGCCTGCAGAACTGTGAGCCAATTAAACCTCTTTTCTTATAAATTACCTAGTCTCAGGTATTTTTTATAGCAATGAAAGAACAACCTAACACACTCCCCCAAGTGAAGTGAAAGGAAAGATCAGAAACCAGATTTTCACTATAAATATCTTGTGGATGTGCACACACACACACACACAGAAATCTTAAACTGATAATCTCAAATTATCCCCTGCCTTCCAGGCTAGAATAAAAGAATTTCTGAAAGCTTAGTGCCCTGGCATGTTTCAGTTGAAAAGAAGCCTGGCATAGGAGCAGTTAACTAAACAGGGTCCTATTATTTAATTTCCCATCATTACTGCACAATATTTTTGTTCAAGTCACTCTTAATTATATTTATGATACTCAAATGTAAAGTTTATTGATGATTTGATTATAACAATTTTATTTAAAAACTCTCACAGATAACCAATTTTCTCTATATTAATTTATTTATTTGTAAAATGATGGAATTACCTAAATGATGATCAAATTTATAATGACATAAGGTATTTTTTTGATTGCTAGATAGAACAATAACCTAGGATTCTATAAGAGGTCAGGCTTTGTTCAAATAAATTGAAGATAGTGCCTGGTGATAATAGACACGATTTCTTAGAGTTGGAAATTCTTTTTTTTTCTTTCAATATTGAAATAAGGAGATAAAAGGAGTCCATTTATCAATTTAACTTCTTCCGTCTGCCCTATTTGTAATTTAAGTTTGAAATGAAAGTTTCTTATTTACTTTTATTTTAGGCAAACCAATCAATCTTCTTATTTGTGTTAGTTTTTGTCTTGTATAACATAGATGGCTTTTGCTTTTTTACATTTGTTCCATCAACCTGAATTTCCCCATACCCTTTCTTTCTTTAGTCTCCCCCTCTGCTGGTTCTACACACAGTTCCTGTAAAGATTCATTATATATAAGAGGTTTTCAGGTTCCTATTTTCTCCCTTCCTATATAAATCAATTATTTACAAGCTTTCCAGATAGATGTTATTTTGCATTCAAAACTTGAATTATTAGGTGCTTTTAAATGTGGCCTCTTCAAATTTTTTCTTTTTCTCTTCAAAATAACAGGCATCTTGGGTCGGAATTGTGTAAAAAAAGGCAGTGAATTAAATGCAGTATTTAAAAAACCATTATGAAAAAAGCTAGGATGGAATGATTAATTCAGTTTTAAGGGAAAAGTGATGTATTAAATTTAAATATGCTGTAGAGTCTGTTGATAAGAGACTTTCTAGGTAGACATTGCTTTACCTTTTTCTGTTATCAAAGACAAAGTGTTTTATATGTACATTTTAATGATAATTTAAAATATTTCCAATCCTTTAGCCTCACCCTGTGATCCCACTTTCATCCTGGGCTGTGCTCCCTGCAATGTGATCTGTTCCATTGTTTTCCATAAGCGATTTGATTATAAAGATCAGAGATTTCTTAACTTGATGGAAAAGTTCAATGAAAATCTCAGGCTTCTGAGCTCCCCATGGATCCAGGTGAGATCAAGAGCTTCTATTCCTGAGATATAATTTATGTTATTTTATCAGACAGTCCAAATTTTTATTTTTATTTTTATTTTTTTTCCCAGCTGGAAGATCTTGAGTTTTATAGCAAACCATATTGTATAGATTTGGGGCCCAGGAGCCCAGCCTGGCTGGGTCCCCTGCTTGCCTCTCACTGGGCTCCCTCCTCCCTCCCAAATTTATTTTTTAGTTTTTAAAATTATACTTTAAGTTGTGGAATACATGTGCATAATGTGCAGGTTTGTTACATAAGTATACATATGCCATGGTGGTTTGCTACACCGATTAACCCATCATCTACATTAGGTATTTCTCCTAATACTATCCCTTCTCTTGCCCCCGACCCCCTGGTAGGCCGTGGTGTGTGATGTTCCCCTCCCTGTGTTCATGTGTTTTCATTATTCAACTCTCACTTATGAGTGAGACCATATGGTGTTTGATTTTCTATTCCTGTTAACTTGCTGAGAATGATGGTTTCCAGCTTCATCCATGTCTCTGCAAAGGACATGAGCTCATTCTTTTTTATGGCTGCATAGTATCCCATGGTGTATATGTGCCACATTTTCTTTATCCAGTCTAACAGTGATGGGCATTGGGGTTGGTTCCACTATTGTAAATAGTGCTGCAATAAGTATATGTATGCATGTTTCTTTATAGTAGAATGATTTATAATCTTTTGGGTATATACTCAGTAATGGGATTGCTGGGTTAAATGGTATTTCTGGTTTTAGATCCTTGAGGAATCGCCACACTGTCTTCCACAATGGTTGAACTAATTTACACTCCTACCAACAGTGTAAAAACGTTCCTGTTTCTCCACATCCTCTTCAGCATCTGTTGTTTTCTGACTTTTTAAGGATCAGCATTCTAACTGGTATGACAGGGTATCTCATTGTGGTTTTAATTTGCAATTCTCTGATGATCAGCGATGTGCTTTTTTTCATGTTTGTTGGCCACATAAATGTCTTCTTTTGAGAATAGTCTATTCATATCCTTTGCCCACTTTTTGATGGGGTTTTTTTTTTCTTGTAAATTTGTTTAAGTTCTTTGTAGATTCTGGATATTAGCCCTTTATCAGATGGAGAGATTGCAAGAATTTTCTCCCATTCTGTAAGTTGCCTTTTCACTCTAATGATAGTTTCTTTTGCTATGCAGAAGCTGTTTAGTTGAATTAGATCCCATTTGTCAATTTTGGTTTTTGTTGCAATTGTTTTGGTGTTTCAGTCATGAAGTCTTTGCCAATGCCTATGTCCTGAATGGTATTGCCTAGGTTTTCTTCTAGGGTTTTTATGGTTTTAGGTCTTACATTTAAATGTTTAATCCATCTTGAGGTAATTTTTTAATAAGCTGTAAGGAAGGGGTCCAGTTTCAGTTTTCTGCAAATGGCTAGCCAGTTTTCCCAACACCATTTATGAAATAGAGTATCCTTTCCCCATTGCTTGTTTTTGTCAGGTTTGTCAAAGATCAGATGGTTGTAGATGTGGTGCATTATTTCTGAGGCCTCTGTTCTGTTCCATTGGTCTATATATCTGTTTTTGTACCAGTACTATGCTGTTTTGATTACTGTAGCCTTGTAGTATAGTTTGAAGTCAGGTAGCATGATGCCTCCAGCATTGTTCTTTTTGCTTAGGATTGTTTTGGCTATATGGGCTCCTTTTTGGTTCCATATGAAATTTAAAGTAGTTTTTTTCTAATTCTGTGAAAAAAGTTAATGGCAGCTTGATGGGAATAGCATTGAATCTGTATATTACTTTGGGCAGTATGGCCATTTCATGATATTGATTCTTCCTAGATTCATTGATTTTTTTGAAGGGTTTTTTGTGTCTCTTATCTTCTTCAGTTCCACTCTGGTCTTAGTTATTTCTTGTCTTCTGCTAGCTTTTGAAGTTGTTTGCTCTTGCTTCTCTAGTTCTTTTAATTGTGAAGTTAGGGTGTCAATTTTAGATTTTTCCCACTTTCTTTTGTGGGCATTTAGTGCTATAAATTTTCCTTTAAACACTGCTTCAGCTGTGTCCTAGAGATTCTGGTGTGTTGTGTCTTTGTTCTCATTGGTTTCAAAGAACTTATTTATTTCTGCCTTAATTATGTTATTTACCCAGCAGTCATTCAGGAGCAGGCTGTTTGGTTTCCATGTAGTTGTGCAGTTTTGAGTGAGTTTCTTAACCCTGAGTTCTAATTTGATTGTACTGTGGTCTGAGAGACTTTTTTATGATTTCCATTCTTTTGCATTTGATGAGGAGTGTTTTACATTCAATTATATGGTCAATTTTAGAATAAGTGTGATGTGGTGCTGAGAAGAATATATCTTCTGTTGAATTGGGGTGGAGAGTTCTGTAGATGTCTATTAGGTCCACTTGGTCCAGAGCTGAATTCAAGTCCTAAATATCCTTGTTTATTTTCTGTCTTGTTGATCTGTCTGTTATTGACAGTGGAGTTTTAAAGTCTTCCACTGTTATTGTATGGGAGTCTAAGTCTCTTTGTAGGTCTCTATCTTTATCAATCTGGGTGCTCCTGTATTGGGTGCATATATATTTAAGAAGGTTAGCTCTTCTTGTTGCATTGATCCCTTTACCATTATGTAATGTCCTTCTTTGCCCTTTTTGACCTTTGTTGGTTTAAAGTCTGTTTTATCATAGACCAGGATTGCAACCCCTGCTTGCTTGCTTGCCTGCTTTCTTTCTTTCTTTTTTCTTTCTTTCTTTCTTTCTTTTTCTTTCTTTCTTTCTTTCTTTTTCTTTCTTTCTCTTTCTTTCTTTCTCTTTCTTTCTTTCTTTCTTTTTCTTTCTTTCTTTTTCTTTCTTTCTTTCTTTCTTTCTTTTTTGCTTTCCACTTGCTTGGCAAATCTTCCATCCTTTTATTTTGAGCCTATATATGTTTTTGCATGTGAGATGGGTTTCCTGAATACAGCACACCAATGGGTCTTGACTCTATCCAGTTTGCCAGTCTGTGTCTTTTGACTGGGGCATTTAGCCCATTTACATTTAAGGTTAATATTGTTGTGTGTGAATTTGATCCTGTCATTATGATGCTAGCTGGTTATTTTGCCCATTAGCTGATGCAGTTTCTTCATAGTGTTGATGGTCTTTACAATTTGGTATGTTTTTGAAGTGGCTGGTTCCAGTTTTTTCTTTCCATATTTAGTGCTTTCTTCAGGAGCGCTTATAAGGCAGGCCTGGTGGTGAAGCTTATGAAGCTTATTTTGGCTGGATATGAAATTCTGGGTTGAAAACTCTTTTCTTTGAGAATGCTGGATATTGTCCCTACTGTCTTCTGGCTTGTAGGGTATCTGCAGAGACATCCACTGGTAGTCTGTTGGGCTTTCCTTTGTGGATAACCTGACCTTTCTCTCTGATGTCCCTTAATATTTTTTCCTTCATTTCAACCCTGGTGAATCTGACAATTATGTGTCTTGGGTTGCTCTTCTGGAGGAGTATCTTTGAGGTATTCTCTGTATTTCTTGAATTTGAATGTTGGCCTGTCTTGCTAGGTTGGGGAAGTTCTGGATAATATCATAAAGAGTATTTTTCAACTTGGTTTCATTCTCCCCATGACTGTCAGGTACACCAGTCCAATGTAGGCTTGGTCTTTTCACATAGTCCTGTATTTCTTGGAGGCTTTGTTCCTTCCTTTCATTCTATTTTCTCTAATCTCATCTTCACACTTTATTTCATTAAATTGATCTTGAATCTCTGATATCCTTTCTTCTGCTTGATTCATTCAGCTATGGACACTTGTGTATGCTTCACAAAGCTCTTGTGCTATGTTTTATAGCCCATCAGATCATTTATCTTCTTCTCTAAACTGGTTATTCTAGTTAGTAATTCCTCTAACCTTTTATCAAGGTTCTTAGCTTCCCTGCATTGGGTTAGAACATCCTCCTTTAGCTTGGAGTAGTTTGTTATTACCCATCTTCTAAGCCTACTTCTCTCAATTTGTCAAACTCATTCTCCATCCAGTTTTGTTCCCTTGCTTGTGAGAGTTGTGATCCTTTGGAAAAGAAGAGCATTCTGGTTTTTTGAAATTTCAGCCTCTTTGCACTGGTTTTTCCTCATCTTTGTGGATTTATCTACCTTTGGTCTTTGGTGGTAACCTTCAGATGGAGTTTTTGCATGGTCATCATCTTTGTTGATGTTGATGCTATTGCTTTCTGTTTGTTAGTTTTCCTTCTAACAGCCAGGCCCCTCTTCTGCAGGTCTGCTGGAGTTTGCTGGGGATCTACTCCACACCCTGTTTCCCTGGATATTACCAGCAGAGGCTGCAAAACAGCAAATATTGCTGCCTGTTTATTCCTTTGGAGCTTTATCCCAAAGGGGAACATACCAGATGCCACCTGAAACTTTCCTGTATGAGATGTCAATTGACTCTTGTTAGGAGACTTGGGGCAGTCTCCTTAGCAGAGCTTGAGGAGGCAGTCTGTCCCTTAGCAGAGCTTGAGCGCTGTGCTGGGAGATCTGTTGCTCTCTTCAGAGCTTGCAGGCAGGAATGTTTAAGTCTGCTGAAGCTGCACCCACAGCCACTCCTTTCCCCAGGTGTTCTGTCCCAGGGAGATGGGAGTTTTATCTATAAGCCCCCGACCAAGGCTGCTGCCTTTTTTTCAGAGATGCCCTGCCCAGAGAGGTAGAGTCTAGAGAGACAGTCTGGCTACAGGGGCTTTGTGGTACTGTGGTGGGCTCCACTCAGTCCAAACTTCCTGAGGCATTGTTTACATCGTGAGGGGTAAATTACCTACTCAAGCCTCAGTAATGGAGGACACCCTTCCTCGCATCGAGTTCCAGCATCCCAGGTCTACTTCAGACTGCTGTGCTGGTAGCGAGAATTTCAAGCCAGTGGATAGTAGCTTTCTGGGCTCCATGGCGGTGGGATACACTGAGCAAAACCACTTGGCTCCCTGGCTTCAGCCCCCCTTTTCAGGGTAGCGAATGGTTCTGTCTTGCTGGGGTTCCAGGAACCACTGGGGTGCCAAACAACAACAACAACAACAACAACAGCTCCTGCAGTACCTTGGTGTCTGCCCAAACAGCTATCCAGTTTTGTGCTTGAAACCTAAGGTCCTTGTGGTATAGGCACCTGAGGGAATCTCCTGGTCTATGAATTTTGAAGACCATGGGAAAAGCATAGTATCTGGGCTGGATAGCACTGTCCCTCATGATGCAGTCCCTCACAGCTTCCCTTGGCTAGAGGAGGAAGTTCCTCAACTTATTGTGCTTCCCAGGTGAGGTGATGCTCCTCCCTGCTTCTGCTTACCCTCCGTGGTCTGCACCTACTGTCTAACCAGTCCCAATGAGATGAACCAGGCACCTCAGTTGGAAATGCAGAAAACACTTGCCTTCTGCACTGGTCTCACTGGGAGCTGCTGACCAGAGCTGTTCCTATTCAACCATCTTACCCCAATCCCAGTCCAAAATTTTGTATGGACCAAGCTGTAAAGTGAATGTTTGAAAACTGGAAATTATATATACTCTTATGTGGTAACTCTGGAAATCAGAATCTTTCCTCTCTTTAGGGTTTTTTGTTGCCTGCTGTAGTTTTCTTTCCCCCTTCTGAAGGCTGTAGCTTTCTTTATTGACTTTTCTAAACTATTTTTGCAAAGTCTGTATTCTTTGTCATGTGTGGTTTCTGAAGTCTTCTTATTAGTTTATGTTCAGCTAGTTTTGATGGAAATTTTCTTGAATGTGAAGAGGCAAAGAAACATATAAAAATATGTTTATATGTATTTATATGTATAAATAAAGAAAGATGGAAGGAAGGAAGGAAAGAAACAAATGAAGAGAGGAGGGAAGGAAGGAAGGAAGCTCTTTCAGATTGGTTGGAGCACTCCTTTTCATAGCCTTCACTTGCTGCTTAAGCTGAATGGATATCAGCCAGAGGTGAAAGTCTAGCACTTTCTCACATGTTTTTTTTGTTAGCCTGTCCTGCTCAGGGCATGTTGATAGCTTTCTGAATTTCTTAGTATATATAGGCACTTTGGAATGCCCTAGTTTTCCAAAGAAACTATCTCCCAGCTTTTATTCTCAGGATTTTTGTGCTCTGCTGTGTGCCTCAACTATAATCATTTGCCGCGGGTAGCTTTGGGTTGTTCATTTGTCTTAGAAGGCTTTTGAGAAATGTCCATTGCTTTCCTATCCTGAGTGAATTTTGAATCAGGTGAAAAAAAGGTAAGTGCCTTATATTAGCCCATAGTAGTCATCAGACAGGTAAGACAGAGAAACAGAATTCTTTGCAAATAAGATCTTCTGTGGTCCCTTTAGAACCAGGAACTAGGGTCCTCCACTGGGAATAGGGCTGCTCTTGACAAGATCACTGCCAAGCTGACGAGGGAGGTGGGACAAGGGCAAATAAACATACCACAAAGCTTACATATACATCATGGAATACTATGCAGCCATAAAAAGGAATGAGATCATATCCTTTGCAGGGATATGGATGAAGCTAGAAGCCATTATCATAAGCAAACTAATCCAGGAGTAGAAAACCAAATACCTCATGTTCTCACTTATAAGTGGGAGCTGAACAATGAGAATACTCGGACACAGGGAGGGGAACAACATACACTAGGGCCTGTTTGGGGTTGCAGGGAGGGAGAGCATTAGGAAAAATAGCTAATGTATGCTGGGCTTAATACCTAGGTGATGAGTTTGTAGGTGCAGCAAACCACCATGGCACACATTTACCTATATAACAAACCTGCACATCCTGCACATGTACCCTGGAACTTAAAGATAAAAATAAACCCACAGAGTTTTTCTACTATTTTTAAGTTGCCATTTTTTTTTTTTTATTCAGCTTTTCCTTTCTTGCTGTAAACCTTTGGCTGCTTTCCAGAGTTCTGTCAAAAATTGATTCTGACTTTTTTTGTTTGAATTTTTGGGTGTTTTTATGGAGTGGTGGGCCTGTGGATCTGTCTATTGTGCCAGTTTTGCTGGCATTACTCTGTGAAGTCAGTGGTTGAATACCACAGCTTGTCCATATCTTAGCATGGTGGCATTAACATCTGGGAAAGATAGATGATTTCTTTATTTTACAGACAAGAAAAGAAATGCCTGAATATAGAGCTGGAATTCAAGCCCATTAGCTTGTGTTTTTTTCCACTAAACTGCCAAACCCAGCTTCTGGCGATAATTTGGTGACTACCCAAGAGCACACACTCAATGGAAATCCAAGTCTCTTGTTGAAAAGTTGGCATTACTCACAGGCTTTTCCTCTAATCAACATCTAGAGACCTCTTCATGACATTATTTGGCAAAAGGGGAGAATGGGAGCACAGATGCTTCCAGGAAGCTCTGAATAGGATAGGGGTATTTAATGCTTCAGCAAGGTAATTAAGATTAAGATGACAAAATGATGGGGTTTTGGGTGTATGAACCATTAAAAAAATGACAGTTTTGTCCCATGTTGAGCTAGCATGTCCCGAAGTCTGTCTTTAGAGTTTAAGATAATTGTGTGTTATCTTTACTCACAGAAGTATCTTGACTACTCTGGTGTATGGGTACTTATTCATAAAATGCTGAATTACATTTTATGGTATCTTTTTACTCCTCCCAGTTATAAAAGAGTGATTCTATTTCTGAGGCTGCCTGCTAGGAGTAGAAATAGCAGGGAGTGGCTTTGTGATCTATTTCATGTTGTTCAAACTTCCTTTACCTTTGTTCTTTTTTTTTTTTTTTTTTTTTGAGACAGAGTTTCGCTCTTATTACCCAGGCTGGAGTGCAATGGCGAGATCTCGGCTCACCACAACCTCCGCCTCCTGGGCTCAGGCAATTCTCCTGCCTCAGCCTCCCGAGTAGCTGGGATTACAGGCACGCGCCACCGTGCCCAGCTAATTTTTTGTGTTTTTTTTTTTTTAAGTAGAGACGGGGTTTCACCATGTTGACCAGGATGTTCTCGATCTCTTGACCTTGTGATCCACCCGCCTCAGCCTCCCAAAGTGCTGGGATTACAGGCGTGAGCCACCGCGCCCGGCCTACCTCTGTTCTTATCTGTAAAATGGGAATTAAAGCAATTCATGGCATTCTATATTTCAAGGCTGCAGAGAAGAATTGACATGAAGATACTTTAATATTCTGAAAATAATATATAAGTATAGGAAGTTATCATCTTTGATCCCTTGTTCAGAATTTTCACCCTAAAATCTTTCTGTCAGTATAGAGAATAACTTTGTATGTACAATCAAATGCTTCTCTTAAAGAAGGAGACAATTTAAAAAAATTCACTTCAGTTTTAAACCAGCAGTTAACTTATGGTATATGTCTTTATTACATGTGTTTAACATAATTAATTTAAAAAAATTCTTTAAGGTCTGCAATAATTTCCCTGCTCTCATCGATTATCTCCCAGGAAGTCACAACACAGTTCTTAAAAATTTTGCTTATGTTAAAAATTACGTTTTGGAGAGAATAAAAGAACATCAAGAATCCCTGGATGTGAACAATCCTCAGGACTTTATTGATTGTTTCCTGATCAAAATGGAACAGGTAAAATGTTATTTGTTTGCCTGTATCTTGTGGTTTATTTATTTCATTGATTAGTTCTATACTGATTGCTTATGTGGTGAGGCAAGAAACACTTAACAAGTGCTTTAAGTACATATTATGTGTATGGATCTGGCAAAGCACCATGGAGGATTTAGAATTGAATTGTTAAACAATTAGAATATGTTAGCACTATTTTTAGGTACTAATAATTTATCTGAGGAAAGACAGAATGCATATCTCAGATGAAATAGAAATACAAATAAGTTAGAAAATTAAAAATATAGAGCCATAAATTGAAGGTGGACATGGTCATATCACACAGCATATGGGAGAGTGAGATGGAAGGGTTTAACCTAGGTGGGCCTATTGCATGTCCTAATGTTTGGTGTAAATCTTAAAATATTTACAATGATCAATGGGGCAGTCAATCTTTTGGTGGGTAGAACAGCTTGATGAGAAGTTCAGAGGTGTGTGGTGGCAAAGAGATGGAAAAGGGAGGCCTAAACTGAATGGAACCAAAAGTAAATTTGGACAAATAATGGAATTGGAGGTGGCATACAGAGTTTTGATTTGATCAGGTGTATGTGTGAGCCCTAACAAGAGTGGGATGCAGATAATTACTAGAGAAAGTAATCCTAGGAGTTGTGTAGAAAGATATGTACAATGAGAATGGAGGTCAAAGACTTGCTATAAGACTTTTCATATCTTTGAAGTGCAGCTTGTTGAAAGTGTGGGCTACATAAACAGATTCTGAAATAAAATCAAGTTGTCCCTTTTGTCATATTGCCAAAAATCTATAGATATTAGTTTTCAGTTAGAGGATCAGATGGGAGCCAAATGATAGGGGCTGTGTGGGAAATTTCAGTAATAAGATCAGATATTCTCTTTGATAACTTTAATTGAGGAGGGAAAGATTCAGATTATGAATTTTAATAGTGGTAGAGTCAATTTGGAAACTGCGTGAGAAGGGTAATATAGATGCCCTCAGGACACTTATATAGGTGCAAAGTACTCTTTGAACTGAGAAGAGGCCCAATCTAGAACAAACTGAAAAGAGTTAACTCTAGAGAAGAAAATACTTCCTCTGAGGCCACCATTATTTTATTGAACCATTTCATAGCAGTGGGTAGAAATTCAGAATCAGTCAGTAGGTGAAAATGGCACAGAGTCAAAGAGGCTAATGAAGGTGAAATTGCCCATGTAATGTCAGCAGGACTGCTCAAATAGTGTGCTCTGGATGGAGTGAAGTGAAGAAGATAAGATAGTTTGAGGAAACTGGAGAAGGGAAGAAGCAAGTTATTCCTACTCTCCACCTTCTCTGCTGCTAGGTCAATGGTTCTGGTCTAATTAATTTGATAATCTCATTAAAATATGGATACTTTACCAGAAAAATGAACCTATATAAGTTCTCCAGTTTTGTACACATTTAGAGGGGTTTCCTTATGCTATGAAGCCTCTCTGTTAATTCCAGGTTAAGGAGAATTGTAAAATCTCTGGTATTTCAGTGACCAGTGGCTATGTCCTCATTACTATATTTAAAAAGTGCATTGTTCCTTTTTAGAATCTAGTTTATTTTTATAACATTTTTATTGAGTTTAATTCATATATTGTACCCTCATACATTTTAAATACAATTCAATAGTTTTAGTATTTTTCACAGAGCTGTGCAGCCACCACCACGATCAATTTCACAACATTTCCATCACCCCAAAAAGGCAACCATATGCTTAACTGTCACCCCATACTGGGGTGGCTCTAGGCAACACTAATATACTTTGTCTCTATAGATTTGTTATTCTAGACATTTCATATAAATGAAATTACACAGTACGTGGTCTTTTGTGTTTGGCTTCTGCCACTTAGCACAGTGTTTTCAAGGTTCATTGATGTAGCATATATCAGTACCTCATTCCTTTATATTTGTTGAATAATATTTGGGTGTGAATATATCATATTTTATATTTCCATTCATTGGTTGATGGTTTGATTGTTTCTATTTTGATTGTTGCTATTTTGGCTATTATAAAAAATGCTGGTATGGACATTTCTGTATAAGTTTTTGTATATAGATATGTTTTTATTTCCCTTGGGTATATACTTGGCTGTGGAACTGCTAGATCATACAGCAACTCTATGCCTAATCTTTGGAGACTAGATCAAAGACCTACATGTAAGAGGTAAAAATATAAAACTCTTAGAAGAAAACCTAGGCTTGAAATTTGCTGTACCCTTTTGTATTCTCATTACAGTGTTTTGAGGGTACCGCTTCCTCCACACTTGCTAATGCTTCTTATCTGTTTTTTGATTCCAGCCATCCCAGTGGGGGTGAGGTGGGTCCATGTGGTTGGTTTGCATTTTCCTGACACCAAATAGTATTTTCTTGTGGTTATTGGTCATTTGTATATCTCTTTGGAGAAAAGCATATTCAGATCTTTTGCCCATTTTTAAATTAGGTTATCATATATTTTAAATTAGTGGGATGGAAAAGTTTTTACATATTCTAGATATGTCTTTTATCAGGTGTAATTTAAAGATATTTTCTCCCATTTTGTCAAATGTCTTTCACTTTAATAGTGTCTTTTGAGGCCGGGCGCGGTGGCTCAAGCCTGTAATCCCAGCACTTTGGGAGGCGAGGTGGGTGGATCACGAGGTCAAAAGATCGAGACCATCCTGGTCAACATGGTGAAACCCCGTCTCTACTAAAAATACAAAAAAAATTAGCTGGGCATGGTGGCGCATGCCTGTAATCCCAGCTATGCAGGAAGCTGAGGCCGGAGAATTGCCTGAAACCAGGAGGCAGAGGTTGCGGTGAACCGAAATCACGCCATTGCACTCCAGCCTGGGTGACAAGAGCAAAACTCTGTCTCAAAAAAAAAAAAAAGAAAAATAGTGTCTTTTGAAATACAAGTTTTTAATTTTCGTGAAATCCAATTTATTTATTTATTTGGTTGGTTGCTTGCAATTTTCTTATCATATTTAAGAAATGATTCCTTAGTCTAATATCACAAAGATTCACCCCAAGTTTTCTTTTAATAGTTTAATAATTTTAACTCCTTTTTTAAAAATTATGCATCTTGTTTATTTATTTATTTTTTATTGCATTTTAGGTTTTGGGGTATATGTGAAGAACATGCAAGATAGTTGCATAGGTACACATGTGGCAGTGTGATTTGTTGCCTTCCTCCCCTTCACCTATATCTGGCATTTCTCCCCATGCTAACTCTCCCCAACTCCCCACCCCCCACTGTTCCCCCAATAGACCCCAGTGTGTAGTGCTTCCCTCCCTGTGACCGTGTGTTCTCATTGTTTAACACCCTCCTATGAGTGAGAACATGCGGTATTTCATTTTCTGTTCTTGTGTCAGTTTGCTGAGAATGATGGTCTCCAGGTTCATCCATGTCCCTATAAAGGACACAAACTCATCGTTTTTGATTGCTGCATAATATTCTATGGTGTATATGTGCCACATTTTCCCTGTCCAGTCTATCATCAATGGACATTTGGGTTGGTTCCAGGTCTTTGCTATTGTAAACAGTGCTGCAGTGAACATTTATGTGCATGTGTCCTTATAATAGAACGATTCATAATCCTTTGGATACATACCCAGTAATGGGATTGCTGGGTCAAATGGAATTTCTATTTCTAGGTCCTTGAGGAATCGCCACACCGTCTTCTACAATGGTTGAACTAACTTACACTCCCACCAGCAGTGTAAAAGTGTTCCTTTTTCTCCACATCCTCTCCAGCATCTGTTGTCTCCAGATTTTTTAATGATCGCCATTCTAACTGGCGTGAGATGGTATCTCAGTGTGGTTTTGATTTGCATTTCTCTAATGACCAGTGATGATGAGCATTTTTTTATGTTTGTTGGCCTCATGTATGTCTTCTTTTGTAAAGTGTCTGTTCATATCCTTTGCCCACTTTTGAATGGGCTTTTTTCCTGTAAATCTGTTTGAGTTCTTTGTAAATTCTGGATATCAGCCCTTTGTCAGATGGGTAAACTGCAAAATTTTTTTCCCATTCTGTTGGTTGCCAATTCACTCTAATGACTGTTTCTTTTGCCGTGCAGAAGCTGTGGAGTTTGATTAGGTCCCATTTGTCTATTTTGGCTTTTGTTGCCGATGCTTTTGGTTTTTTGATCATGAAGTCCTTGCCTACTCCTATGTCCTGAATGGTTTTGCCTAGATTTTCTTCTAGGGTTTTTATGGTGTTAGGTCTTATGTTTAAGTCTTTAATCCATCTGGAGTTAATTTTAGTGTAAGTTGTCAGGAAGGGGTCCAGTTTCTGCTTTCTGCACATAGCTAGCCAGTTTTCCCAACACCATTTATTAAACAGGGAATCCTTTCCCTATTGCTTGTTTTTGTCAGGTTTGTCAAAGATTGGATGGCTGTAGATAAGTCGTGTTGCCTCTGCGGCCTCTGTTCTGTTCCATTGGTCTATATCTCTGTTTTGATACCAGTACCATGCTGTTTTGATTACTGTAGCCTTGTAGTATACTTTGAAGTCCAGTAGTGTGATGTCTCCCACTGTGTTCTTTTTGCTTAGAATTGACTTGGCTATGCGGGCTCTCTTTTGGTTCCATATGAAGTTTGAGGTGTTTTTTTCCAGTTCTGTGAAGAAGGTCATTGGTAGCTTGATGGGGATAGCGTTGATTCTGTAAATTACTTTGGGCAGTATGGCCATTTTCACGATATTGATTCTTTCTAACCATGAACATGGAATGTTTCTCCATCTGTTTGTGTCCTCTCTTATTTTGTTGAGCAGTGGCTTGTAGTTTTCCTTTATGTTCATTGTTAGTTGTATTTCTAGGTGTTTTATTCTTTTTGTGGCAATTGTGAATGGCAGTTCATTCTTGATTTGGTTCTGTTTAAGTTGGTTATTGGTGTATAGGAATGCTTGTAATTTTTGCACATTGATTTTGTATCCTGAGACTTTGCTGAAGTTGCTTATCAGTTTCAGGAGATTTTGGGCTGTGACGATGGGGTCTTCTAGATATACAA